CAAAAATATACACATTAAGCACACAGATGCAAAATTACTGTAACATACCTTTAGCGCAAAGAAACTATAATTTACTCCAAAATTTTAACTACTCATCATTCTCGTATTTGTATTTAGGAGATGTATATTTACAATTTATATGGTATTTAAATGGAATTTAATCGCCATAATCTTTAAAAAAAAGTATTGGGTGCCAGGCTTTACCCTATCAGCAAAGTGAAATCCACGGAATTCAAACATTAGAACACTTGTGGCAACTTTAAATATGTAAATATGCAGGGTGTTCCGTTAAGACCACCAAACATGTTCATTAATAGAATCCTTATCAAGAATGAAAACAGAAGAATATGCTCTTTGGCAAATTACTATATAACCAAGGGGAAAAAATGATATAGAAATCTGACAAATCACAGCACAGGAAGGTGAATGTAATAAACGTAGAAGCAGGTTTAGTTGGAAATTGAAATTTCAAGGTGATCTTAATAATCATCTTTCAACTCATATCTGTTTCCTCCCGCTATCGAACTTGATTTGTTTATCAAATACGCTTTCCTGTACGTTTTCCTTTTTTCCAAATACGTTGCAATCAGATTTCGATAGCGTTTTTGTTTTTTCCTTGGTCAAGTATCAATTTACGACTCCCAATTTGTATACTTATTGATCTTCATTTTTGACCAGGATAATAAAATTATATTATAAAAAGTAGTTTTAGCGAAACACCATGTATACTGTCTGATTGTTATGACTTTTTGTTTAAATCTGCCAATACTATACTATTTACTGTCATGAGTTTCATCTCAAAATTTAAATGGAATATTAAAAATAGCTTCAGATGTATGTGTTTTTTTTAATTTCTTATCTTTAAAATCATAAAATAAACGTGATGGTTAAAACATGATTAAAATAGCGTTATTACAAATTTTTTAAAAATACCAAAATTTGTAATTAAAAAGGAGCCTAAGAATTGAAGCAATTAAATAAAGATATTGGAGAAATTTGTAACTCAATATTTTCTGTTAAAAACAGCAAAAGCATTACTTAGCATTAATTTAAAAAAAATAATTATTTTTTATTTTCAGTAAAAAAAAATGAGGGAATGTTTCAAGCGTGAAGTATAAAAATTTATTTTTTCAAAAATAACACTATTGAATCAACTCTCTAAACCACTCAAGCATGCAAAAGAAAAAGTCTTTCTTTCACTCTTAAGCCCCGCTTGACCAAAACTTTAAAACAAATTTATGCATACCCCATAAGTCAAATACAAATTCTGGTCTTTATCACGCAACATTACAAAAGCTAAAACAAAATATACAGCAGATATGAACAAAACATGCAAACAGAGAGAGGTGAAGCTCCAAAAAAACAAATGATATAAAATCTGTATTCTTCGTTTCTTAAAATAAAAATATGAACTAACGATTTCATTCAAGACATCTATTTCGTTTTTATAGTTCAATATTTAAATATTAAAATTTTCAATTAGAAAATTCTGCAAAAATTTTATTCATTTATTCTTGTTAGTTTATTTAACTCAATGACTTTCAAGACTACTCAGTGTATTGCTTTAACTTATCAATATTTTTTAAATTAGAGTTAATTTTTAAATTGTATGTGGTGTGCAAGTTGAGAAACTAAAATAATTTTTACTAAGCAGCTGATAATTCCTTTAGGGGTAATTATTTTTCAGTGTGGAATTATCTTATGATCTTGAATCAATGAATTATGAAATGATCTTGCATAATCTTATGATTCATGCACTATTAAAAAAGCAAAGCACTCGTAAATTAACACTTCGAACTATTTAACTTATTTGTAGTAACTAACCAGTGAAGGACATCTTTGAGAAGACTTTTTCTCTTTCCAAGTGATCCAAGATGTTGAATTTAGATTCACAGCAGAGGTATGTTAAATAAAAAAAGTCACTTTCAGTTTTTAAGTACGTATGAAGTTAGTTAAAAAATAATTAAAAAATGTCTATATATCAATATATCGTGAAAAATAAAATCTAGTAAGAAAAATCTAATAATTGCATTAAACTTTTATTCATATTCATATTTTAGTTATTTTTCGTTTTACCGTATATTTATTCCTTTTATATTTTAAATTCAATAAAAGAATAGATGATAGGAATGATTTTCATTTTCAAACTGAATAAAGATTCTGGTGCAAGAGGGGATGAATAATTTGGAAAGTTTGCAAATAAAATGAATCTTATAAACTTTAAAGTGGTATATTGCCTAAGAAATAAAAAAAACAGGCATTTATCAAAGTATTATATTCCTTTTATATTTTAAATTCAATAAAAGAATAGATGATAGGAATGATTTTCATTTTCATACTGAATAAAGATTCTGGTGCAGGTTAGGATGAATAATTTGGAAAGTTTGCAAATAAAATGAATCTTATAAAGTTTAGAGTGGCATATTACCTAAGAAATAAAAAAAAAATCAGGCATTTATCAAAATATTATGAAAATATATTTATAAATATGGTCCTTAGTTACTATCTAAATTTTCATTCGTTTAATCATGAAATGTTCTTTTAATCATGAACGAAAAGGTGTTACATTATTTGTCCATTAATTTGATTACATCGAAAATAAAATCTATAGAAATAAATCCAAGGAATGCATTTTTTTTCCGTTTTAAATACTTAATTTTTTATTTAAAATGATAATTTTTTCCGTTCCTTTTTTCTTTGCTTCCACTTTCCAAAAATATAGAAACTACATATTTCTTACTCCAGCACTTTCTAACAGAGATAATTGATAGAAGGTAAACTATGAAATTAATCTTATAACTATCCGGTTTCTAGTTTTTAGAGGTTAAAAATTTAAATATTCGTCACAATGGAATTTGTAATAACACAAATGAAATTCGTAAACCTCGAAAATTGCATTACATCAGCTCAAAATTCCACCATTTAACCAGGGTAATTCAGAATTATATAATAATTCAGAATAATTTGTAAGAAATTCTCAAATAGATATTGTTTTATCAGATATCAATCGCGAATAAATCAGATACTGCTTTTAAATGGGGCATGTATAAACTTTTTATGCAATATCGTGGAGGGTTCGCATGTTTGAAAAAGTATAAGACTAGGAATTTGTTCATTGTTTTCGCTATGAAAAATCATCTGAATATAGTTCCATGGTTGAATGAGTCACGTGATAATTTCATGAAGTGTGGAATCAAATTCAATTGCGACCGACGTTCTGAAACAAATTTTTTATACACGTCTCTATACTTTTGGAAAAACCGATTCAATTTTGATAAATCGGTATCTTAAATCCTAATATAATGGGCATTTTAAGCATTCCTTTAAATTCACACCTTATTAAATAACGGGTGAATGCTTAAGTTAAATTTTAGTTAACATGCTTAAGTTAAATGTGCTTAAGTTAAATTTGAACCACATTGCCATGTAATAAATTTAAAAAAATTGCATTATAGTATAGTTTATCTTCACACCGTATTGAAGTTGCAACAATTGTGAGCGGTATAATTTTTCAACCAAAATTTCTTACAGTATAGGAGAATTTAGGAGGATTTATCAGTCTGCACAGTTAAGAGCATTTTTCAAAGGTTGTAAATTTAAACTTATAAAAATGAAAAAATGTGGTGATTTTTATCGTTAATGGGATGACAGGCTACTATAATATCAATCATACTACATTTAAATGAGTAATAAAACAATAGAATTAGTATAATATTAGTATTACATAATAATATAATTAAAATAATAATATTATTATTCATAACTATAACAATAAATTTAATAACTTTTATTATAGATTTTGTCTTCCTTTATACGTTTCAAGAAATTATTTTTTTTCAAAAACTTTTGAGATTATTCAAAATTTTCGGTATATATTTGACAGCAAGAAGTTTTACTGTGTGCTAGATGACAGTTTAAGTCAAATTTAAGACTACTAATTTGGGGACACAAAATCACTTCACCCAGGGTACAGACTTAGCGTAACATGCAGTTTTTTTTATTCTTTTGTTCTTCTCATCAATTAGAATAGGAAATGCCATATACCGCATTAAAAAGAGCTTAACTGATATATTTTGATAAAGTATTCAGAACTTGCTGTTTTATTTAAAATAAATTAAAAACAGAAAACCCTCAGAAGTGGCACAAAATGTTGCTACAAAATAATGATATTTTAAGAGCATAGAAGACGATCATGTTTACATTAATACACAATCCGTACTTACAGTCGAATATAACATGCTCTCCAATGAACAAAGCTTGTTTACAAAATATCATTCAAGATATTTTCCCAACAAGCTCTAGATTTGAAAATTGATTTTCGAAGTTTAGGTGATTCAGACTTAAAATTTAAATTAAAATTAAAAAAATCAGAAATAAATTTGTTTTAGTTATCGCTTAATAATGCGTCAATCTTTAAAGATTTCTATAACTTTTCTCAATGACGCATTAAAAACGCAATGAACTTATCCAGCAACATTGAACGCTTAATGGGAAAAAACCAACCAACATTCAACACTTTATGGAGGAAAAAAAAACAAGTGTCTGTCTCTAATTGTCCCTCTGTGCAAAAGTAGCCAAACATTGTTCGTCAATTTAAATTGATGGGTGAAGTTAAACTAACTAAATTAGTTTTAACTCTTTTAATCCGTCTTTTTTATTGACCACCGTACTAATTCGGAAGTATTTTGATAACGTTCAGTATTCGGAAGTATTTTGATAACGTAAGTTTTTTCTTCAAAATATTAATTCTCATTTACCGAATGTGTAAGTTTTTATTACTTTATTTTGACAAATATTCTTAACTTATATTTAAAGTTCATTGATTACGGAATTTGCCATGTTAATTTTTTCTTCTAAATATTAATTCTCATTTACCGAGTGTAAGTTTTTATTACTTTATTTTGATAAACACTCTTAACTTATATTTAAAGTTCATTGATTACGGATTATGCTATGTTAGTTTTAGAATCACAAACGCAATAAAATAATTGTATACTTACGTCATGAAAGGTTCGCTATTTTGATTGCAGTTCCCCGCCGTAGAAGTAGTTCCATTATCTTGTCGGACTTGACAGCTTTCATCGAAGTAATCCGCATACCAGTAGAGTTGGTTCAAACCGCATGCGAAAGATGTTAAAATTAAAAAGAATATGAAGAGAAATTTTGCAATATCCACTATCATGCAACCAAGTGATATCTGCAGAGGTCCCAGATGGGGATTCGTTTGAAACAAGTAAATTATCCTTGCAAAACTAAAAACATTTGCTACGGCAAACACTCCTTCTGCTATCAAAGTAGGATCATTATCAGGCCAATGATGTCTCTCCATGACTCTGCTGCCATAATAATCACTATGGATTTGGAAGAAGGCAACAGCTTTCAGAGAAAAAGTTGCAAGATAAAATGATAACATGATGAAATCTAACCAGTTCCACCACTGTCGTACGTAAGCTTTTAAGCCTTCTTCCCAAAGTTGCTTGCATTCAGCCCACACCATTCCTGTAGAAAAAAATATATAAATCATTAAGCTTTATTCTTGTAAGCAACAATATTATTTAAAAGATTTAACGTCCTGAACATGAAAAGCATATTTTAGCATTGCAAGGAAGAAAAAAGTTTCATTCGGGGCATCATAGCTTAGTATACAGATTGACTAGGTCACAAGTCAGTCAATAACAATTTAAAACACCCATTTAACACTTTGGAGCATTCTTCAGTTGTGACTTGGAGCTCGGTAAACAGCGCATCTTTACACCTGTGCAACCCAGAGTTGCTCTCTGAGTTGCTTCATTTAAAGGCCTCCTTTGTTCATTACAATATATTTATTTTCTTGTACTGAGAAGAGACAGGCATGTATTTCGAGACTTTAGTATTTCCCGAATGCCCCCTATAGGGGCGGGGCGGTGTTAAGTTAAATTAAATTAACACTTTAGAGTAGTTTATACATTCCCCCTTACTTTGAGGGTCAGGAATTTAAAACCATCAAAAAATGTCCCTGTTTCTCAGAGAAAGCAAGCCATAGCTTAATATGATGTGGTCATAAATAAATCAAACATTAGTGAACAGCTGTTTATACAATGTAAACAGTTTTGCCTCAGTTTACTGAAAATGACTTCGTAAAACAACATCTTTACACCCGTAACTAGTCCCTGTTAATATAATGCTCTGAAAATTGCTGTAAAACTTAAAGCAAACACTGTTTTTATATAAATCCTACATGCAGTGTGCGAAAATAAATAAACCAAACACCACGAATAACTTTCAATTCTCACGTACTAGGAATCAATCTTAATGGCTCAAAAGGGGGATCTCAAATATGCTAATTTATTTGTGCAGGCGATGCTTTAGATTGCGAAATCAGACACAAAAACGTACTTTCAGAAGAAGAAACCTTTTTTTATGATGGATTTGGATTACTGATCCTCAAAATATAGGAGGTAACAGAAATCTGGAATATAGGGTTCCTATAGTTTAAGAAGAGCGGGTGAAAGGAGTTTGGAGGCCTCCGTAAAATGCTTTTTTGTTATAAAATATACCGTAATACCGTAATTTTTGATGTAATATTTAATCAATCAGAGATTCAGTGATTTTACAATAATTATTACAGTAAAAATTACGCTAAATCAGAATTTTTGTTCTGTAACATGTTGCTGTAAAAATGGATTTTACAGTATAAAGAACCAGCACCCTGAGTGCTGATACTTTTTACCGTAAATTCATCCGGAAGTTCTTACAGTGTTCTTACTATAAGCAAAACAATTTCGGTTCATTTATTACAACATTACATTTTTAGTCAGAATTGTTTAAACTATTTCATTTATTAATTAAAAATACATATTCATAAGTTCCAATGTTTACTAAATATAACTGTGCTCTTTTATGAATTATTAATCGACAACTGCTAGTTTGCTACAATGGAATTTTCCGTTTGCTAAAAGGCATTTTATTTCAATATTATCCTGAGATATTTTACATTGCGAAAGTATCTCTGCTTTCAAATATTGGTATATAAGTGTACTTGCCTGTCACCCAAAAAAATATGAGCCATTCAACAAATGATGGTGGCGGTCCTCGAATGTTCTGCCTCGACCTTTCGCTTCCCTCTGTTCTTGTAGAAGCTAATACCAGTAGAAGAAGGAAACATCCGAATGACGCACTAACATTACAAAGAAAAAACATTATGCGTACTGATAATTTTATTTTATAATTTAATAATTTAACAATTATTTATTTAATAATTTAATAATTTAATAATTATTTATTTAATAATTTATTTAATAATTTAATAATTTAATAATTTAATAATTATTTATTTAATAATTTATTGATAATTTAATTCTGATAATTTTATTTTTATTTTATCACTGCCAATGAACAGCCGATCCAATTTTCAGTTTAAGACTACTAATGTTCACCTACTTAGCCTTGTAATGTTGAACCAAATCCTGAAAATAAGAGATCTCCTTGATCAAGTATTGGGAGAAATTTGCTTTCAGGGAAGACTCTTTTATTAAACTAACCGCATTTGCGTTGCATGGAGAGGAAAATCACGGAAACCTCTTATGATTAGCCTGACGACAGGGTACTCTAAACCGTCTCTATCACTGATTATATTTGGCGTCTGCTCTGTGGTCGTTGTGAGCCAGGTGCGGAATTCGTATGGACTAGCCATAGCTGGTATTCAAACACAGGTCACCTCATTGGGGAGGAGTTACCGCGGCTCAATTTTCTGAAAATTATTCTACTTAATGAAATTGGTGAAATGACGATCAAAATCTTTTTGTTAGGAAGCTGTAACAGCAGTAAAGCAATAACGCACTAACATTAGAAAAAATATGTACGAAAGTCAGCAATTTTTTTAATTATTATTATTTTTATAATATTTCTTTCTACTTTTATTCATCAACAAATTTCGAATTTTTTTTCAGTCAGTAAAATAAGTATAAACAACATTTAAAATCAACTTTATTATATTTTATTATTATCTTTTTATTGCTTTAAATACAAATGAAGTTTTTCACTATAATGTGGATGTCATACCAGTCTCAATATTAAATTTTAATTGGCTTGTTAAGTTTTGAAAAGAGCTACATATTTGTAATGCAAAAGATCTATGTTCAAATTAAGTGTCGTGCAAAAGTTTTGAAATTGTTTTTAACATTTTGACTGTTCAATAAAAAATGAATAAATAGATAACTGACCTGTGATATATGAATTTCATGAAAGGTGATCGAACGAGTTTCCCCATTTTGGACCTCGGGCAGATGAGATAATATAGTGAAATTGCAGGAATACAGGCAATGAGACCACAACACAGCAAAATTTTCATAAAACCATTTCTTCTTCTCCACACTGGGAAACCTTCATACCAAATAGATGTCAGCAGTTGCTGGCAATTTGGATGTGCTACAAACTGAAAAATAATTCTTTCATTGCTAACTAGTACGAATTCGAGGAGTACTGTTTTTGGATTTAGCAAGGTTTTAGAAGTATGTCATGTTTTACAACCATGTTCTGTTAAGATATGATAAAATTGAAAATCCAACTTTGTTTATATAATTCTTCTCTTAGAATCTGTTTTGAGAGATTATCTTGGAAACCGGGACAAGATGGTGATGAATGCGATCATTTTTAATCTTTGTTTAGTTCTTAAATGCTTTTTGTATTTGTTTATTAAATTAAGAAGCAATTTTTAACGAAAAACATAGAGACACTTTCGAATGATCTAGGGTTAATTTCCAGTGGTTTTTTTGCTACATTAAGATAAAACGTGTGGGGAAAAAATATAATTATTTTTCTTTTTAACCCATTTGAAAAACGCAGCTGTTAAAATTTTTTGATTTAATTTAATTATTTTCTAATTTTCAGTTTTATGATTAACTATAATGATTTAGTTTTTATGTGAGGAAGAGGTCAAAATCTTAATTGGCAAGCAAGTAGAGTTAAATTAGGTTGAGTAGTTGGTAGAGTTAAATTAGGTTTTAATTTTTTAGATTTAATGGCGAAACGACAATTGTAATGAAATGCATTTAAAACTAGAGGTTCCGAAAATTGGAAAAAATTTCATTCTTAAATCTATAAATATATTGATTTATTTAATAATTTCATTTAATTATAGGAATTCTGTTAACAGCACAGATGCGACGTGTCGATGTTTTCAAAAACTGGCAAAAAACATTATAGTAAAACACAAAGCATGAACTTTTAAGTTTATAAACAAAACCCCACCAATGAGAAAAAACTCAAGACTTGTAACAATGTATTCCTGAAGTTTGGAAGAATTTACGGGTACTTTTGTTTCTGACCCCATCAGGGCTTGAAAATTATGTTGCCTGACATGTAAAAATTCCAATCAGGCATGTTAATGGTCAGTCAGAATTACATAAAGTACTTATTAAGCGAATTTTGAGGAGCATTGCCAAGTTGACGGACTAAAATGGTTTTTGAATGTCTGTCACCAAGGAAAATACAAAAGAAACAGTATAAGTGCCTTACACTTGAAGCAGAGAGATTATTTTAAACTATATATATCATCTTGCAGTGAAGAATTATCTGGCTTTTAGAATGGACGAATAACTTAAATTACTTATAAGTTATTAATTTAAAAAAAAAAAAAACAGTTTGCTAATTTAAAAAATTATACCACAAAGTCTTTTCATTTCCACAAAATTTTGGCTTTCTCCATATCATTTCGCACCATTTTCTGAATAAGCTTAAATAGCTTGTTGACTAACTTGTCATAACAGTCACGAGTAACTGTTACAAACTCACAGCAGTTATGAAAATAGCATATTATTCGCCAAAAAGCACCATTTCATGTGACGACGAGGTCTTCGAAAAACTACCCAAAGGCACCAAAGGGGGAGAAAAAGAAGAAAAAAAGCTATTGTCGTTGATAAGACCTAAATATTATTAAGAAAGTAACTTTATTCTTTTTTTACTCGAATGATGCTAATTCTCATTGAAAAAAAGTTTACCTCAATCGTTTCGCATAAAAATAATTAATATAAAAGTTCATAATATTGTTTTAAATTAATATGTTAAAGTGCATGCATACCCTTGACTTTGTTAATAATAATGCTCTGCATTAATTTCATCGATGCAAAAAATCCCCCCATATTTATATATTTAAAAACTCCCCCCCCCCATATTAATATATTTAAAAAAATCCCCCACATTAATATATTTAAAAAAATCCCCCATATTAATATATTTAAAAAAATCCCCCATATTAATGTATTTAAAAAAATCCCCCCATATTTATATATTTAAAAAATCCCCCTATATTAATATATTTAAAAAAATCCCCCCATATTAATATATTTAAAAAAATCCCCTCACATTAATATGTATCTATAAAGTAGTATCAATCAGTTTTATCTTTATTTTCTCTCCATCCGCTTGTTTTGAGATGAAAAAAAAAGTTAGTTCGAAAAATAAATTTACATCTAAGAATATTTGTTTCGAATGAAAATGGCGGAACGTATTTGTTCGATTCAAGTTACAATATTTGTATTGTATTCGCCTTATGTGTTTAAAAATTTGGTTGTAGTTTACTTGATTTGATTTTATCATGGTTTTCATTCTTTTATACAGTCCGCATTTTCCTTCCCCTTAGCGATTTCAGAAACAATATTCTTTTAATGTTTTATTTTCATTTCCTTTTTCCCCACTAAGAATAATTTTACGCAATGGTACAATTTATTGAATTTATTTATTTTAAAGATTTGAATATGTATTTGTTTATTTAAAAAACTAACTTCTAAATTGAATAAAATATTAGCTGATTTAATTATTTTTATTTTTTTACTACTGAGAACGAACGTTTTTGAGTAAATTCGAGAACATTTTCTTAAAAGCATATTCTGTGTTTTTAAAAATTTGTATAAGTACATTTTGCGTTGACATAAATTAATTAAATAGCAAGTACATTGAATAAAAATTGTATATTTGATGCATTAAATAAAAAAAAAAATTTCTGATGGGAACCCTAACTTTTCAAAAAAATATTTTTTAAAAAAAATATCGTATTTAGAAAAATAAAACTATATCAGCATTCTATTTTTAAAATATAATAATGTTGTAAAACGTTATTTTTATCGTAAAAAACATACTGATGTATTCAGTATGAAAAGTTAAAATAGTTTAAAATAGTTTTTATACAATGTGCATCAAATTAAACTTCTGAACTTTACTTTTTACTTTAATTGAAATTTTGATTTATTTGTTTGTTAGACTAAACTGCGATTTTTCATACATTTTTTCATATTTTAAAATCTTTTGATAAGAAAATAAAAAATGCTTAACTTATAAGAAAGAAAACTCCAATATTTTTTTTTCAGGAATGCGTCTTGGCTGATTGGGAAAATAATTTGTTTCCTGCTTTACTTTTGTAAATCCTATTATAAAATTTTGTTGAACTGTGTTACTGGCGCATTTTATTTAAAATTATCCAAAATACTATAATTTAATCATTAAAATATGCCCACGTTTAGTTCTATATTAAAATGCATAACATAATAGAAAAAGAAGTATTAGCAACATAAAATTTTATTTTTCTTTAAATTATTTCAATGCTAATCGAAATTGAGATCAATTAGAAAAAAAAATTATAAAGTGTTTACAAAATTGCAATAAAGAGCGTACATATAATCCACTTTTATCTGTTATTGAAAGGGAAATTTTACTTTTGTTAATGAATGTTTTTAAAATTTCAAATAGTAGAACTCATTATTTCTATGCTGAGCTTTCAGTTTTAATTTAACAATTCTTTGATATGTCGCCTCAACAAAAATTGCAGGCGATTAAGTTTTTTAAAAAAGTCTAATTATGCTGCCATCTAACATCACTTTCGTGAACTAGAATTCACAAGATTTTCCCCGCTAACTTTATTTTATCATTTATGATTAATTTCAAAATACCTACGCTGGCTAATCATAAAAGGACTAAAAATTTCTCGCTACAAAAATATTGAAATTTTTTTAAGCATGATTTAAATACTATGACTTTTCTTAGTTATAAAATACACTCATGGACAAAAAATTAGCGCGCCAAGAAGGAGTTGTCAAAATGAAACGAAATTTTATATACGTAATGACTACTTTGATATAAGTAAATGATTAGAAAATTAAAGAAAAACGATAATCTTTGAATTCCTAATCATTTACTTATATCAAAGTAGTAATTACGTATGTAAAATTTAGTCTCATTTTGACGACTCCTTCTTGGTGCGCTAATTTTTTTGTCCATGAGTGTATATTAAACTAATACTTCAGGAAGAAAATAGCAAAAAATAAGTACATTTTCGTCCAAATTACTCTGAAACTAAATTTAAATAAAGTAAAAAGAAAATTTTTACAAAAGTAAATTTTTTATTCATTTATTTTTTAATTTGTTTGGAGTTTGGTACACTTTTTATTAATATTGCTTTAAATAAAAATCAAAATATTCATTTTAAAAAAGAAGACATCATTCAAATAAAGATGGCCTCAAACATCACATTCATTTTTAAAAGAGAGGATTTTAATAAAAATGAACTATGGCGAATATAATATTTTGTTGCACTATCGAATTTTAAAGATTTTTATTTGTCTAAAAATTAAATAAAATGTAACGTGTTTCTCGCAAAATTAATTTTTTTAAAAAAATTCTGTTGATTTCGGAAATTTTTTTTATCAATTATAGTAAATATGAAATTAATATAAGAGATTAAACTAATATAAATGCTTAGATTACTATAAAAAAAAACTCTTATAAAAAAAAAACTCTTATTTCGCAGTCGTCCAAGTTTTCAAAATATTATAATTATTATCAATCTAAAAAAAAATAATATGAAATAATAACATCTGATAAATTTGTAACAGATTTTTGGAACCCCTATATGTTTAAATACAGCATACGTTAGAAGTAAATTTATTTTGTGAAAGGAACAAAAAATTATTGCTAAAAAATCAACCCAAGATTAAAATAACACTTTATAACAATTTTAAGACTATGTAATGAAATATATTTTTCGAAAAACTAAACTTTATTGTCTAGCCAACTCATAAGTTGGACAAGAAACGAATATTTAAGGCAACACAAATTGATTTCAAAGATAAAATTAAAACAGATGCAAACAGGAATATTAAAATTAACAGAGAACTCAGTTGGAAGTGTAAATAAAATAATAACCAATTAGTTAGTCACACACGGAGAAATTTAATAGCCATAGAAAATAATTATAAAACTTAATTTTGTTTGTTGAATTAATGGGCTAATATAACAAAAATTAGAGGATTTTGAATCTGAAAATATTTTAGATTACGGTGATCGAATGTCGGATAAGTATGGTTGACAATTTTCTTAAAATCGAACAAAATAAAATTAACCTGTGAGGCGGCCTAAATAATATTACCTACAGTAAGGCAAAAAAAAANAAAAAAAAAAAAAAAAAAAAAAAAAAAAAAAAAAAAAAAAAAAAAAAAAAAAAAAAAACTGAAGAAAAGAAGAAAGAATCTCTTAAAGAAGTCTCATATTTAATAATATGGAATAATTAAAATTTAAAAAAAGGAAAAAATCCCTATACAGTCTATTTCTATTATATACATTAACACGCAACTGGAGTTTTCAGAAATTAAGAATATATTTATTATCTCTTTTCTTGTCTTTTAAATTCCTTATTTTTTTAAAGTTCCAGTTAATTTAAGAGCATCTATTATTAATTGGAATTAATCTTTTAGTGCTAATATATCTGCGGTTTTCCCAAAATTTAGTTAGATGTCTGAAACAACCAGGGAATTGAGTAAGTTTAGGAATTAAAAATTATTTTTCTGTTTCTCCTCTCAGTAATATGTTACGCTTGTTTAAAAAAATTAAGGATGAAAAATAATTTTCCGGGGCTGTTGTTGTTTCTAACGCCTTTTGCCACACGGGCAAGCCTGCTTGGTGAAACCGTGCAAATTTAAGGCAGAATGTGCGTTTCTTGTTTCTCAGTGGCTCCATCTATGGCCAAGAATTCGACTTCTGCCACACCATACGTCGCACCTCTTTATATGGCGTACCCATTCGTACAACCATTCATTCATCCACAGATCGTAATTTTGACCTGAATCAGAGAACGATCGATCTCCAATCCAGTACTCCCAGGGGATTTGATTTGTTATGGGAACATGGAGGACTTTTGCGACTTGACAGATTTAACGTGCATCAGTCACTTTACTGCACGGGGAGTTTTTGGCCGTCGGGATTCGAACCCACGAACTCTCGGACACGGGCCCAGCGCCCTACCGACCAGGTTATCTCGGCCGTTTCCGGGGCTGTAATTGTTCCTTTAAGAAAGAAAATCTCGGATAACAAATAATTTACGGATAATCTGATAATCTACAGCTCCCTCTACCGTGCTGGAGGGTTTCTGTTACCGGACACCTGACTAATGCCCACGTAACGCTTTGAACACCGAATTACACTTTCATCTATACCTTATCAAATGTAACTAAAATTCAATAAAATTAAAGCTTATTTATTCGGCATTCTGTGTTGCCTGGAGTGATATGTTGAAGAAAAATGTAGGGGTGGTCATTTTTCTCATATCTCTATCGTATCTCGACTTGCATTATTTTTTTAAGAAAATTATTTAGTTTATGTTACAGATGTAGCTAAAAGGTAATTTTGATTGAAGATTTTTAAAAAATTAACTTTTTAAGATGTGGTCTAACATACATTTTTGTTTGATGAACTTACCTGTTTCTGTTCATATTTAAGAGCCATTTTCAGTCTTGAGAGAGTCAGTTTTTCCTCAACTGCGTTTCGTTCGTCTTCATCATATTCTGATTCTGTTCTTCTATTTAATACTGCAATAACTTCTTCTGTGCTGCGGCAGAGGTCAAGAAGATCACACGAATACTTTTTGCACTGATTGCTCAGTACTAAGTAAATTTCTTTGAATTCATTTTCTCTGTGAGCGAGGTGCTCGAGTTCCCACGACAACTAATTGAAAGAAAATAGGGAAATATTAAATTTTATTCATTAGCATAATTTATTAAACACCATAACATGTAGATTGATTTACGAAGAGGCAATGTTTCATAGAAAAATTATTGCTTGGTTTACTGATTTCGCTGATTTAACATACTTTGAAATTAAACTGCAATATAATTTACCTCCTTTATTAAGAATCTCCCAGATTTTAAATTCTGGAATGCACAGTGGGCAAGCATCCAAGGTTTTGTGGCCAAAATTAGTATTTCAATAAAATTTGTTTCAAAATTTGGGTTTTTTTATTTAGGGTTTTCATGTGCAGGTAAATTGAATTCATAGTTGAAATTTTGAAGTACTCTAAAAATACCAAAAAAAAAACAAGATGGCGGCTGAAATATGGCGAGCAAAATATATATATATATATATAGTACGTTTAAATAATTAAATATAGCAATGAAAATATAATAATTTTCGTAATTTTACATTAAAAATGAAAAGCAAATTATATTTCCGAAGTAATATTACAAAATAACGCGAATTAATTACAAAATAACGCGAAAACATGAAAAAAAAAAACATTATTTTTGCTTTTCGGTATATTTAACCCACCTTTGCAATACGGGCAAAATGGGGCAGGTTTTTTCGAAAGAAGAAACATCAAAGAAGACAACAAAAAAAAGTTTAGCTAATTACCTCGTGGAACTTTTTGAAGATAAGTTTCGAAAGTGATTCAAACATTGTAAAATGTCAAATGATAAGATATAAACTATAAGTTTGTCAAGAGTATTAACTAATCCAACAAATTGAAAAATTGTACAATAATATCAGACTAATTACTCTGATAAAAATGTAACAGAAAGGTGAAATTCCTATATATATTTCTAAAATATAAATTTAAAAGTTTTTAACAAAAATTTTAAAATTTTAAAGTTTAAAAAAAAGTTTTTAACATATTTTTCACTACATTGTACTCTCGTCGGTCCAAAAAGTAAATTATAATGTTTGGAATGATTCTGAATACTTAATTTGGGTGATATTAAAGCTGCCTAAACATATTTTAGTTAAAATTTAATTTTTGACTTTTGGCCGAAGATCATGGTCTTCTGGCCCACTGTGGAATGCAATAGTTCTGTTTTTGATTAATTTTCCGCTTATTCCGAGCTTTCCTGAAAAAATCCGTTTAATAAATGTATTTTGAGAAGACTTCCTAATATCTTCCAATATTGACTCTCAAGTTATAAGTTTCATTCAAAGTGTAATAAACAAAGAAAAAAGTTTAAAACGTCAGTTTCTTTCATCGTATAAGAAATGCATTTCAAGCGAAGACATTGTTATCTTCTTGAAATTGTGGCAGCTTCATCCAACACGTGTTTTCTAAGTACTATTTTAATTATGCTTCTTACTTTGCGTTCTATTTTATTTAGTTGAAAATATTTACAAAGAAACTAGACTTTGCGGAACTATTTATTATCTTCTAGATTTATTTTTAAAGAAACACTCTTCGTTAGAAAAAAAGTTTAATAAATACTTAGCAAAAAGAATGCATAAAAAAACAAACAAAATTAAACGTTTAGTCATAAGGCTCTAAATTGCTTCCTTTTTACTGGTCATTGAATATTTCAAAACTAAGTAGAAAAATATATCAAAGTTCTTCAAAATCAAGATATCGAAATCCTCTTACATCTCCATCCATATTTAAATAATTTACATTGACCTCGTAATCAAGTTCCTCTATCATTTTTATAGTCCTGAAAAACCACAGAAAAGAAAATGGATCTCATTTCGACGCGGAAATGGGCAATAATGTGATTATTCTAAGCGCAGGTAAGGAAACAATGCATGATCAACATCTTAACGCGATAGCCATTACGGTTTTTTTCTGTTTTTTTTTATTTTGTATGAACATTTTCTTAATGCTTTTATTTCCATTTTGGTAACGCGTTCGAAAATGTTCGGTGTTTTATTTAATACTTCCAAATCTCAATAAACCCCAGGAGAATTCAGAAATCAAGACAATGCCCTGTCGCGAAAAGTAATAATTTGGGGATATTTATTACTTGTCTCTTCAGCTTAGCTAATTTACACATTTGATGTATATCGTCTGGTTTTAATATGCATTTGAAGAGTTTGAAATCAAATATTCATGTTAAATAAAGATGGAAAAATTTAATTCTGATTTAAAAAAGAAGTCTATTTCAATGTATTGCAATAACCTGCGAAACAATTAGGTAGCATCACATAGGGTAAGGTAGCATCACATTAGAACAGAAGTATAAATGATAGAAATAACAGAGAATTACTCAAAATTATAAATGAAATAAATGTATGCAATGTAATTTTCAAAATTAACTTTATTTTAGAGGGCGCTTCTATGATGACGTTAATCTCCATTACTAATATTTTAGTGGTAGTTGAAGTATCATTATTGACTTTTGGTCATTACATACACATCTTAATTTGGATGTAATAAAATAATTCTCTCATGGAGAAAAATAAAATCATTTAGGCAAAATTGATTTATTTAATATTGAAGATGGCCGTAATTCAGAAATGTAAGCATAATGAAGAAAAGAAATCCCTTAAGGGGATCAAGATAAAGTATTCTCTTACATCGAGAGTATAGTTAGCATGAATGATATTCGACGGTTGGGACTGCGACAATTGCCACAAATTTGAAAGTGAATGAATTTGTTTCCAACGGACAACAGGAGCATGAAGAAGAGATCCAAGGTTGGCGAATTATCGAAATTTAACGTAGCGAAAATAAAGCCAAACCCCTATAATCAATATTCGGTTTGAAAATTCTTTGGCCATTGCGAATCACCAACCAGACAGTGAGAATTATAGTAACCATGTAACTAAAACATATTTGTGGTAAGAAATTAATAATAAAGAGTTATAAATAGATTTTTGTTTTCGATTAGGCGTGGCAGTGAATTAATGAGCCTACATTAGTATTGAAATAAAATAGTTAGCCGTTACATTGATCGATAAGAAAAGAATGAAATATTTTATGTTCGTTTTTAAATAAAAATTAACTAATTCATTTAATTTAAGTATAATTTGATTAATAATAATCGAAAAAAATAAGTTTAAGTAATTTAAAAAATTTCGAAATCTAGGAAATATGTAATGCCAATTCTGGCATCACAGTTTCTTTTTTACGATTAAACTAATTCACACTACCTGAAACTAGCTGATTAACTTTAACCATAAGATGAAAATTTTAATGATATTTCAGTCAGATTCAAGGAATTGTCAAAAGATTTTATGAGTGTGATATTAATCCGTCACTGTTTATCATCAAATATCTTTTTCATTTAATTTTTTTTAATCATACTGAGCTTTTTTTACTTCAATGTGAAGTATTAATAATATAACATTGGTCGTTTATTAATGTATTATTCTTCAAAATAAGTTTATTACAAATATTTGAAGCAAAATTTTAATTATTTATTTACTCTTATTAAATAGCTTATAATGTACTAATACTATTTACTTATGTAATCTTGAATAAATAAACTTTCTTTATGGATAAAATCGCGCTATTCACGTATGAAGATTCTGCAGCACTAGTGATTAATGCTTGCTAAAACTTTTAAAATAAACAATACTTTATTCCCCTGTCTCCAGAACTAAGCATTCTCAATTACACTACATAAGCCAGTGTTAAATATTACGCAAAGGTCAACAATAAACATGCAAGCGATGGAAGATTCCAAGCCTGATTAATTTATCTTTCCTCAAATTAGCTGAAAGCGTTTTATGGAGAAAATGGCGCTGTACAACTCTCATTTTACATGGATCTGCACTCTCGGATGCCAGTCAATAAAATGTGTAAGATCAAAACTCCGCTTAACAACCGGTAGATTAAAGATATTTGAAATACAGGAAATGTTTGACATCCCGATGTAAATGAGTTAGTCGAAATAGATCTAATTTCTGCTTGTTGTCAAGTACTATAACTGTTAATCAGCTTTCAGTTTTTAATGTTTTTTTGGGTTGATGGATAATAGTAAATTCTTTAATTTTTGTATTTTGTATGCTTTATTACGTATATGCGTAAGTTGGCTATGCTGAAATGTGTAAGATCAAAACTCCGCTTAACAACAGGTAGATTAAAGATATTTGAAATACAGGATACGTTTGACACCCCGATGTAAATGAGTTAGTCGAAATAGATCCAATTTCTGCTTGTTGTCATGTACTATAACTGTTAACCAGCTTTCAGTTTTTGATTTGCTTTGGGGTTGATGGATAATAGTAAATTCTTTAATTTTTGTATTTTGTACACTTATTACGCATATAAAGTTAACATGGCACGGTACATGCAATTATTATGGATACTATTGCATATGCTGCTTATAAATTATTTCATATGTGTTGTTATTGGTTTAGTTACGATTGTAATGTGTCCCTTTTTTAAATTAATATATTTTCGTTTTATGAGATTGATAAATAGTAATGTATTATTATGGAAATTAAATTCTAAATTTATTCAATGCAAACCATAAAAAAATTGTTCTTACAAAGCATTAATTATGTTTTATTTTTAAGCAAAATGATTAAAATTTGCCAAAGTAGCCATGTTTTCAAGTGTTTCAAATTTTCGGGAAAAAAATACGGAATTTTGAGAAAAATTAAACATTGCTAGTTTATTATTTTTTGGTAAAGATATCAGTTTATATAATTTTTTTTGGTACTAGTGTGCATTTTTCATGGAAAGTTACGCAGATATTGGGATGAATTGTTTAAATATTACAAGGGGATGAGATATCTGTGATTATTTTTCTTCCTAAATTACCGTAGAACTGATATGTTTAAGGCAATTTCCGTGAAATTATGGAGTTTGGTGGTTCATTTTTAAAAATTGGTTAAAGGGACTATCCATAAATAAAACTTAATGTTCGGTATTTATTAAATTTAAAACGATCAATATTTTATGTTTGGTGTAAGAAATAAAAGAGTATCTTCCCTGTAATGGTAACATGTCAATTTAACGCTAGCTGGTAATTTTGAGCAAACAACTATTTGACAAGTTTCGATCAACTGTATTCGATAAAGAAAATCAATAGAAAGATTTGAAGATATATTTTTTTGCTGTTAAATCTGAAGTTCATTGTAATTAACTAAAATTTTTATGCTAAGAAACATTTTAATTGTTATGCCAGCCTCTTAAAAAACCGATCGTGACAGAAAAGGTGTTTATTTATTTATTATTATTATTATTTTTGAATTCTAGTGAAAAGGAAAAGGCATTTTATTGTGTGATTTTTATTTGTAAAACTGAAAAGTATAGTAAACACACCTTGTGTCAATTTCACGTTTTGACAAAACACTTATTAAGAGAAAATGCTTAAAATTAAATAATGTTGGCCCGGTTTCCTTAAAAGTGATACAATTGAGTTTTATCTCTTAATGCTAAATTAAAATCTATTGCTGAATGATATTTGATGATTATTATTTGAGTGAACCCGTGATTTAATTTTTTTTAGTTATCCGATTTTCTTTTAATTTCTGAGGATATTTAAAGAACAAATTTTCCTCAAGTGAAGAAGAATAATAAATTTTAATTTGCTACAGAATTTAAGATATTTAGTAAATATGAGTGCAGTATTTTAATATACTCAAATTTAGTAAAATTTTTCAAATATTCCTTACAAAATATTTGCTTAAATAATTAATTTTCATGTGTCATGTACGAGACAGTCGGTGGGATGGCCCAGAAAAATGTTTATATTTCTGAAAGTATTTTATAATAAACTTTTTAAAATCTATCAAAACTTATAAATTAAATTTTAAATCCATTAAATTGATTATTGATTTTCATTCAAGGGATCATTCACAAGTTTGCTTTTGTCTAGCTATAAGTTTTGCCAATGTAATTGGTGTAATACTTATGGGTTGTATTTCTACTAAACTCTAACTAGTTTTAATTTTTTTTCTGTTATAATCTTGTAACATTAAATTATTGCAACTAACATTTAAAAAACTAAAACGATACTGAATACTTTAATTTTAAATAGTAAGATGTAACGTGCTATGTAACTGAGCTACGTGCAAGCAAGAATTATTGTATATATATATGCATTCTAAATTAATGATTCCAACTTTGTATTGCATAATAAAATTAACTTTACTGTTATAACTTTTAGTGTGATTAAATAACAAAAATAATGGCGGCTACGTTGCACCAAGTAATGTAAAAGGGCATTGTAATGAAACACTGCATCCAAGAGATATGCATGGTGTTTCACTACACCACTTTGGTGTAAAGTAGTTGTCCCCATTTTTGTTATTAATTTTAGTGTTACTGAATAACAAAAATGGTGGCGGCTGCGTAATACCAAGTTATGTAAGAGAACTTTGGTGTAGAGAAACACTACATCCAAGAGTTATGCATAGTGTTTCACTACACCACTTTGGTGTCAAGTAGTTGTCCCCATTTCTGTTATTAATTTTAGTGTTACTGAATAACAAAAATGGTGGAGGCTGGGTAATACCAAGCTATGTAAGAGAACATTGGTGTAGAGAAACACTACATCCAGGAGTTATGCATAGTGTTTCACTACACCTCTTTGGTGTAAAGTAGTTGTCCCTTTTTTTGTTATTAATTTTAGTGTTACTGAATAACAAAAATGGTGGCGGCTGCGTAATACCAAGTTATGTAGGAGAACATTGGTGTAGAGAAACACTACATCCAATTGTTATGCATAGTGTTTCACTACACCACTTTGGTGTAAAGTAGTTGTCACCATTTTTGTTATAAATTTTAGTGTTATTGAAAAACAAAAATGGTGGCGGTTACGTTGCATCAAGTGATGTAGTGATGTAAAAGAACATTGGTGTGGTGAAACACTACATTCAAGAGTTATGCTTGGCGTTTCACAACATCACTGGAGTGTATAGTAGTTGTCACCATTTTTTGGAGTTGAGACAAATGAAATTTTTTTATAATGTACAAAAAATTCACAAGTGGTTATTTTCCCCTATCTTAAACGAATTAGTTAACATTTTATTTAAACGAGCATTTTATAAAAATGTCTTTGAGTCTAAAATATCGTTGTATCAAATGTAAATATAAAGAAATAGATTTATTCACATTTAGAAAAAACCTTCGGCTGTATAACAAATTTTATTATTTCTAATTGTCTCGCATGTGACGGTGGCATTGTCCTTAGTTTTTTAGAAAAAGAAAATTTCCTTACATCATGCTATTAATTTAGTTTGAATTAAGTTTACTAAAACAAAAATTGTCTTTACTTGAAAGTTTTTGAAAGTTGTCTTAAGACGGCATTAAATCGAATAAAAATATCAAAAAAAAAAGTAAAAATATATGTCGTTTATTACGTGGACTTAACAGAAATAAATATTGTTAAAGATTTCCGTCAATGCTTTTAAGTCTAAGCTTATTTGATTATCGGAATTTTTGCTTCTAGAAAAACTCTTTCGCTTTAGATATTTTATCTCATTAAAGTAAAAGCAAGCAAAGTCTTTAAATGTTGAGTGATTCTATTTTACTTTATTATTGGTAATTTCAAAGTTTCTTGAACCTATTAAAGTCGAAATTGCATAAAAGAATTTTTATTCCCGTTGGTCTGACAATTCTGTATTGAAAGTTACTTTTTGAAGCATTGCCAAAAAGTTTTAAGCTTTTCCTAGCTTCGAGATAAAACTATGTAGTATATCAATATGCATGAAATATATCTGCATTTTCCCTCAGAATATTGTATACCAATAGTAATGGAAAAAAACTTTTGCTGATCTAGCAGAAGTTTAAATATTAACAATTTATGGTTTACTCGCAGATGAGTGAGGAAAAAAGTATAAAGATGAAATATTTATATGTTTACGTTTTTATTATTCCTGATATTTTATTTTCGATACTAGTTCGCAAGAAATAAAACGAGCTGTTTCATGTGTTTTCTAAATAAACAGAATAAAAACTTAATTTAGAATAATGAAATATTACATTTAAAGGTCAAGCATATATAATACAATCCGCATTAAATTTAAAGGATATATTTTCTATCTGCATAAAATTGTGCTACTATTTCTTCTTATTTATTTTGGCTACTAGTTCTAAACTATGTTATATAAAAATTTTGAATAATACACTGAGAAAAAAATCTGGTAAAATTACCGTACGGTACGATAATGACTTTACTGGTAAAAAAAAACCATAATTCAGGCAATAAAACCAAAATATACGGTATTTTAACCATTCATTTGGTAATTTTGCTGTTCATATAGTAACGATTTACCGAAAATTCTGGTTCTCAAATTTATATTTCATTTTATCACACATTTAGCAAAACTGAAAAATAAATTTTATTGAATAAATGGTTTTTATGCCATGTTCTAAGATATGATAAAATTACCTAATTTCACCATATTTGTCAAACTTAACTACTTATTTAAAAATCTTATTTTATTGATAATTTTACCAAAATCATTACCAAAGCTTGCTCGGTAAAAATTATCGAGCTTCTTTTACCGCGTATATTACCGTAATACATTGCTTAAAATTTATCGTGTTTCTGTAGAGCCAGAAACACGATAAATTTTACCATTTTCCGGTAGTTTTGACCTTAATTCTTTCTCATTGTGTGTTTAAAAATTTTAATTCTAAGTAATTTCTAGTTCATCTAGTCAGTTTTCTCTAGCTTGTCCCTTTCATCAGTATTCAATTTTTCTAAAATATTACATCGCTACTATATAAAATCTATATTATTATTATATTTTACTTCAATTTCAACTCTGAGGAAAGTTTTGCTCCTGTAATTAAAAAAACTATCTGATTTTAATTATTTTTCTCGTTGCTATTCATTTTGTATTTTGTATTAATTAGTTATTCAGTTTTAAAAAGGAGAAAACGATAGTAAAAATACTTTAAGTTAGAATAATATCAATTCAGTTTCAACTCTGAGGAAAGTTTTGCTCCTGTAATAAAAAAAAACTATCTTATTTTAATTATTTTTCTCGTTGCTCTTCATTCTGTATTTTGTGTTAATTAGTTATTCATTTTTAAAAAGGAGAAAATGACAGTAAAATTTTTTTAAGTTAGAATAATATCATAGCAGTTAAAGAATAGTACCACATATTCATTTGCAATTTCATATGATTTTTTACTTTATTTTCAAGAACTGTTATTTTCTGGTACTTGGATTTCATTTGTTTATGAAATATCATAACCAATTCCTTTTTAAAGAACCATTATTTACAGCAACTGTTATTCATAACAGCGCATGTCCGTTGTTTTTAAAATTTAGTTAGTTAACCATTTGATTTTCATTTCATAAATTAAACAATTCGATGTTAAATGTTCTAAATTGTTATAAGGACACTCACTCACAAAAAAAGTAGAATTTCCAAAAATCCTGAGCATTTAATTATGTATTCAACTAAATTGTTTCCTCTTTGGTTCTTTGATTTTCAAAACAACTGAAATCAGTGGTTTTTAAAAAAATAATATTCTAGTATTTCTTGGATTTCAGTTTATTTGTACCTATTAATGACGTACTTAAATGAATATATACTATTCTGTGATGAAACAATTGTATTACCACAAAGGTGATTTCTTTTTAGAATTATAATTGCTTTTTCTTACAAATCTTAGAAAGTTTTGCTCATGGTCTTTGATAATAATCTTGTTTTAACTTCCAACATTTTTGATTACTAAAAAGAATAATAAGATTTTTAAAAAAAATTTACCTTAAATGCTGAGAGAATAGGATCCTCGCTTGTTAATGAAATCCAGGCTGGACTTGCCAATGCTCGGTATGTATGAATACGTCGAAGTGAATATCTTAAGCTGTCTGTATGAATTCCCTCACGACAACGTGGACAAGTGCAAGACAGAGGATGAGGTTTATCAATAATTGCACCATGCGTTAAAAGCAGCTGAAGTATTTCAAATTGGTTGCAATGTGCTGCAAGTATTACAGGAGAAATATCTGGAGAATAATCAGAGCTTTCTTCACCAGGTAATCGGGATTTGGCCCAACCATTAGCTAACATCTCACTAGTGATACTTGGATGATTAATTAACATTTCTACTATTTTATAGACACCTTCACTAATAGCATATAGGAGTGCATCTCCGATCTTAACATTTTCTTCTAGTAGGAGAAGTTCAACTATTTCTACATTTTCATTATCAGCTGCTATTTGAATGGCACTCCGTCCTAAGATGTTGGTGCAGTTTACGTTCACTGGATTTGGGGCTTGTAAACAACGCACCATGGTGGCTTTATCTCCTCTTTCAGCAGCTTCGAGGAAAATTCTTTCCTTTGGATCCATGGATGGTCCATCTTTTAGGGGCTCTAAAGGAATGGGAATTCGATGACGATGATGTGGGAGGCTGTGCGAGCTTTTCAAGTTTCTTGTGTTGCTGTTTTTAGTCATCTTTTGATACATCTTGTCCAATAAAATAATTGGACGCATCAGATATTGTTAGCACGCACCTTTGCAACCGCAACACCTTCAAAAAGTCAAATAATAATGAGTTAAGATACATTGTATTTTTTAATTACTAAAATGTGTACTGTGATAATTATTTAAAATCCAATATTAGGTTGAAGAAAAAATTTCTTCATATTGAAAATATACAAAGAAATTTGCATCCAAATAAGTAAATAATGCAAAACTTAAAACCCTATATCAATCTAGGAAAAGTTAAGGGTAAACCACTCCATGGGAAAAATAAACATCGTTTGATGTAACTGGTTAAATGCAAATTTTATTTAGTAAGGCCTCGAAAATACGAAAATTTGTATAGTTATATTAAATCAATACCAAAAAATAATCTGTACAACCAAAATAAATTTTATTAATGAAGTCATTAATTTCTTTTCAGAAAGAAAACTAATTCAAAGGTATTCTTAACATGAAATCTTTCTAAGTGACTATTTAAAAATATTAGTTTTAATTTTTTGAAAACTTAAATGTACTTGCAAATTATTTAGTTTAAGGTTCGTAAAGTTTAAAAAGTTTTCTTTAAACATAGTTAAGAGCTACAGATTCTATCAAAAGAAGGCTTTTACTACGAACCTAATAATATTATAACATCGTGATTGTATTTAAAATTCTGTTGCCTACTCACCAAGACATTACACGAAATGTCGCTCACCACATTTGAATGAAATCTACCCTTCTCTCTCTTTATTTTCCTCCATCTATCTATCTAGCTACTTATCTATATTACTATCATTGTTATATAGAATTATTTAGTTTAAGGCTCGTAAAGTTTAGAAAGTTTTCTTTAAACACAGTAGGGAACTACAGGGTTATAAATGGAGTACGGTTACTCCAAATGTAATCCAGGATAATTCGCCGGCCATTAAATTTTTTATAACTTCTTTCAAGTTTTTAATGTTTATAGATGGCATTAGGGGAAGCTATAGTTAAAACTCCATGGAATTTTGTTTAACAAATCTTTGAAAATATAGAGTTCATTTAGATATCTTTAAATTTGATATTCAGATTATCCTTCTTTAATTTTCATGATCGATATATTTAGAATTCAAAAGCTTTTAATTTTAAAATTTTTAATTTATTAAATTCTCTTTTCCAATATTTAGTAGACGTCTTCGAAGATTATTTGATCGTAAAATAATAAGATAAAGTCTTAGGAACAACTAGCATTCCAATATACTCTGATAGAATAATGTATTTGCATTCTTCTTAACGCAATTTTCACTTAATAATAACTGACTGGTTTTGTGATCAAATTTAATTAAAGAAATGTTAATTATTTCTACTTTTTTTTAAAAAAAAAAAGTGTGTCAAAACTGTCGTTCTTTAATTAATAAAAAAAGTATCGATTCATTTTATAATGCACAAACAACTGATTTAAATACTAAACCAATCATTATTTCAGATTCAGATTTCTTAGTATGTTATAGTAAATTTTATTTCCCTATTTCTGATTGATTAAAAAATCGGACATTAAAACAAAGCACTTTTGATCCGCTTTTTTAATAAGAGTAATAAATAAGAGAATAAAAAACATTTATATTAATAATACATGAAATGGTCAAATTATTAAACTGACTTTGTTACTTGCAATGAAAACTTGAAATATATAAATTTATTAACCGAAAAATAAGTTATTATTATTACGCGTAAAAGTAAATTTTTTAAAAAATTATTTTATTAATTTTGATGCGTTTAGTTCTCATTCTTAAAAATATGAGAGCATATTCAGTTCTTTTATCTACGTAAGCCAATTAAATATAATAATTAATCAATTAGCATACTATAACATAAATTTTATATACAAGTTTCTTTAAAAAAAATAACGTAAAAGGCAAAATTATGGGCTTTAAGCAAAAAAAAATATTTTAGGAATAAATTTACTCAACAGTTTGTTGCACTTATATTTTGCAGTATTAAAGCACATTTTTTTCTGATACAGAGCCTGTTTGTAATTTTAAAAAAAAACAAGATTAAATAGAAAATAGCATAGTTTTTATTTTAAAAATTATGCTTTATTATAAATTAAACAAAGCTGCTTTTTTTCATTGATATGCGTGAGCGTTATAAAAACTGCCTAATTTTTTATTAACAATAACTTTGTTTTTATTGCTATGTTTTGCACTTGAAATACAGTTCAGTATAATGAAAACTAAAAACCAAAAAGACGAAAACTAATTTAACAACATTCATTTAAGAAAGTGCTATTAATTTCGTTATATGATATACATTCTTCTAAAAATTTTTTACGATGGCTTGAACATGATTAAATTAGGTATATTAAGCAAGGAAAATAAGCTGTGAATTAATTATCCTCCTTCGCAAGAGGGAAGTAAATTAATTTTATTTGAAAGTAATATTTTTATGCAATAATTTAATTTTTTGTTAAATTTTAGTCCTATTTAATAATACAATATCAAGATAAGGGAAAGATAGACTTCCAAAATTTAAATTATTTTAAATTTATTTTCTAACTATGAGAGTAGATACTCGATAGTAGAATAGATCTTTTAATTATTACAGTAAGTTTCCCACACGAATAAAAATCATTTGTTTAAAATTAATAATTAAATAAATTAAGAAATGAAACTATAAGTTGTAACTTCAATTATGATAAAAATATATCAATATTCATTCAAGTTATGACAAAAAATATTTTTTCCCGCTTGAAAGGAAGTTAATAACATAAAACTTTTTATATTGTAATTCAAACGATTGTTAAATATTTAATTTTTTTTCCATTTGAAAGGAAGTTAACTACATAAAATTTTTAATATTGTAATTCAAAAGATTGTAGAAGATTATAATTTTAACATGAAAAGAACAATTTTAATAAATCTGTGCAGATTTTTGCATTTGCTGATGACATTATTATTGTCACTCAAACCCAGAAGCCATTAAAAAAAGTTTCCTGTCGATGGAAGCTGCAGTAAGGGAACTGCAGCTTGCCATTACCAGAGACATGTTGAAATTTTAATAGTCCCTATTTTGAAATGTTAAGGCTTACAACAGAATCATAACAACTAATGGATGCTTTTTTGGGACAGCATAACTATTTGTTATTGAATATCATTAGTTGAAAAGTCTAAAATGCTTTAGATTTATAAACCTCTGACTGATACCCTTCTCACACATACTGCTGCAATATGGCCACTGATTGGGAAAGTTAAATAGACTCTTGCTATATTTGAGAAAAGAATTTTAAAAAGCATATTTGGAGAGATAAAATTTAATAATCATGGGTGAAGTAGAATCAACTTGGATTTACTAGTTATAGAATCATATATTAATATATTTACAGCAGTTAAAAAAATAAATAAGCAGTGTACCTAATAAGATTATATGATAATCTTTGCTCAATTATTTGGTGTCTAAAAAAAAAGGGAAGATAAAAACTTAGGTGGATTGATGACTCGAGAAGAGACTTTGACTGAAAAAGGATTACTTAGTGTCTCTCATGTTTGTAAAAATTTGGAGATTATTTGCTATATTAACATTTTTGAAGATTTTAAACTTGAAAGCTAGATTTAAGAATATTTTAAATTTACGACTTCTCGATTTCTCAGGAATTATTCAACCGATTTTGCCCAAATTTTTGTTTTTGCAATGTAAAATTACATTTACTTTAAAATAATGTAAAAAATTTTATACATTAGAATTAAAATTTTTTTGACAATTATTAATGAAATAATGAAAAATAATAAATATTTATTAAAATTAATTTTTCGCATGGAATTGTCTTTGGATAAAAGAATTTTATAATTGTGTGCAAAAATTTTTTAGATTCGCTTGAAATATGCCAAAATACTCTAAAAGTAAAATGCAAACTTTGGATCCCTCTCTTGATCAAACTATGGGAACCATATTTCCCAGATTGCAGCTACCCCCCATATTTTGGGGGTCAGAAATCCGAATACCTTGATAAAAGGGTGTGTTTATTCAGAGAAAGTATGTGTTAGTGTCTGATTTCGTAACTTAAAATATAATCTGCACTAATTAATTAGCATATTTGAGATTACTCTCGTGAACCTTTAAGAGAGAGTCCTAGAACGTGAAGATTTGATCATTTGATCAAAAGTTATTCAGGTTGGTCCATTTTTTTGGCGCACTGTACTTATCTGTAAAAAAGGCGTCTGTTTTTAAATAACAGTATTTTTCTGTGAAATAAACAGTTTTATGCTTGTACAGCAGCTAGCAGTTTTTTTCCGAAAATTTAACAGATTGATTTTACAGTATACGTTGTGATGCAATGATTAAATTAAATGCTTTTAGGCATGTTTTCTTGCGAATAAACTTGAATGTTTAATTTGTAAGATAAGTAGCCATTTGTAAAAGATCGTTTAAAATCTTACCTTATCTTAGTGGCATTTTTAAAATGCAAAATGAATTTTGGATCATGAACCATTGCTATTCGAATAAAAAAGACGAAATAAATTTGAATACAAGTGTTGCCGTCGATTCTTTTTCACTCCTCTGTGAAACTGAGCCATTTCTCATGAGAGCTATTTTGTCATTTAGCAACCAGAATTTAGTAACCTCACTAGTCTCCTAAAATACAAAAGAATTTGTATTATTTTTTGTAATTTATTAAATTACTATTAAATGAATGACACAATTACAGATAAAATGCGAACAGATATACAATTGAAATGATTTTTAAAATGAATTTTTTTTATTATTTACATTTACATTAAGAAATATTTTTTTAACAAAAGTAAAAGGAATAGATAGTGTGGTAGTTACGCCACAGATATTAAGGTAGTTACGCCATTAAACAGTTGATTTGCGTAAAAATACTGCTCAAAGAAAAAAAGAATTAGTGAAATGATTTGAACAAAAAAAAAATAATGAGCGAAATGCTATAAGCAAAAGAATGAAGGAGAAAAATGAGCGAAATCCTATAAACAAAACAAAAAAATGAAGAAAAAATATAATGAGCAAAAATGTTATAAATAAATGAACAGCATGAATTAACTAGTGATATCCGTTCATCGAATTCTATCACAGATAAAATTCTGGAAGGGGAGTAATGTGGCGTAACTACCACTATAAATATTGAATTCCAATTCCCTAGTATATAAGACATGTTAACTTGATTCTATCTTGAGGTACCTTTTGATAGATGAAGGTTGACAGAGTCAATAATTAAATTCCCTCAATATTTATTATTTATCAACTAAAATTTAAGTTAGAATTTTAGAAATTATTAAAAATATAGTCGACGTTTGTTATAATGACCTTTGTGGTCCAGGGTGGAAGCAAACGTGAACGTTATAATATGAGATCGTTATTTCGTGACTGCACAAAATTAACGTAAATATTAAGTCATAGCTAAAAAAGTACTTGACAACTTGACAAAATTTAGCTAAGCAACGCTTTATTTTTAGAAGAATTTAATAACTAAAAGAAAAATTGGTAATAACGCAATTTTTTTTCTCCAAAATATGCGCAGAAGTACTTTTCAAAATAATACTTCATAGGTAGAAAGACATTGAAATTAACATCCAGATTTGGGCTTCCAATTTTGATAATACGTCAGGATAACTACAAAAATTACGTATTTGTTTCAACTCGAAAATAAACGACACAAGAACACTGACATGTCACAAAAGAGTTGACAATTTTTGAGATTGACTTAACATAAAAACTTTGGAGACAGACTTTTTACAAAATTTTTATGTACATTTTATAAATTATATATACATGTTATAAAGTTATGCAAGTTATAAAATATAATTTTACAATATTTACAATAATATTTACACCAAGTTATAAAATATATAAGAAAAGTATGAATGATAAATTTATTGTATCCTTTTTAAAGAAAGTTACACAGATTCCGAATGATCATGAATTGCGAACATTTAGGATAAGAGTTTGGAGGATCATGACACTTTTCCTTAATTCAATAGGGGTACAAGATGTTTTGCATTTATTGTGTGGTAATATCAAAGAAAATAATAGTTTAAATAATTTCGTTGAAATTTTTTTCCATATCAAATGACTAAATTTCGGTCTCTTTATTGAAAGGAACAGTTCAATGTGGACATTCTAATGGACATTTAAATAACATTGCGTCTATGGAATTGCTAACGAGACTTAATGCATCGGTTATAATGGAAAGGTTTCTGTAATGGAAGTTATTTTCAGTGTTTTTTATTTCCATTGTTGAACAGCCAACCAAATTTTGGGTTTACTGCTACTAATGTTCAAATCCGCAGCCTTGTAATTTTGAACCAATCCAGAAGACAAGGAAACTCCTGAAACTGTACCCCCAGATGTATTAATTTGTTATGGGAACATGGAGGACTTTGCCACTCAACAGATTTGACGGGCATCAGTCACCATTTACTACACGGGGAGTCCTCGGCCGGCAGGGATCGAACCCATGACCTCTGAAATGGGCCCAGTGCCCTACCAATTAGGCTATCCCTGCCTCCCTGTAATGGAGGTTGTACTAAAAAGCATTAATAACAATTCTCATTTTTTGTTCAATTTTTTAAAAGCAAACTTCAATTATTTCTACATAGATTTCTCAAAGCTAACATTAAATACAAGTCAATGTTTCAATTTACAACTTCATTGCTGCTTATGATGTTAAGTTTCATAAATAAACTTATTTATAAACTTCCATCATTTAATATATAGAGCCTGAAAACCTAAAAGAAGTGGTTTTGCATGTTTTCCTTTTCGAATTATTATCACCCAAAGAATAAACAGAAACTATTTTCGACAATTCCAATCTTATCTTTCATAAAAACAGAGACTGACTGTACCTTGAAAAAATCTTCACAAAGGATTTAAAAAAGGAAATAAAAAAATATAATATTCTTTGAAAATCTAAAGTATGCAAGTATGCTTACAATATTTTTCATACCTGATATAAGTTTCTCTAGTTTAGACCAGTTCTTCATCTTATTTTTAGGAAACACTGTTTTAAAAAAATTTAGTATGAATCATTGAATCACTACAGATACAGATAACTGGAAAAAAAATATCTGAGCTGTCCATTTTTGCTTGCAGTATATACAACTTTAGAAACCATGTAACGATAGTGCGTGTTTTGATCTGACCAAATATGGCAGCTTAAAATCTCTGACCAAATATGGCAGTTTAAAGGAGTAGACAGTTTCTTATGGGACTTAAAGGAACTTCCTAACTTAAAGGAAGAAACAGTTTCTATTGCGCTTTATAAACGGGATGGTACACGCATGTGAAGATGTTTATTATCTATTGAGCAGAAATAAATTTTTAAAAAGAGTTTTTTAAGTTTATTTAGAGTTTTATTGAAAATATTGGAATGTTAAAAAAGCTAAGTCATGCTTTCAAACTTATTTGTATGCAGTGAACTGGGAGTTTGTAAAGAATACTTGTTTCGCCAATTGGACTTCATGTTTTAATCAAAATTAGATCTCAAACTCTCTTAGATTCTGATATCATACACGAAGGAAAATGTATGGCCGAAATTACCGGAATATGATAAAATTTACAGTGTTTCTTCCTCTATGGGAACACCAAAAAGGTCGGTAATTTTTTCCGAAGAGCTTTTGATATGAGTTTGGTAAAATTAACAATAAAATGTCGTGTTATAATGTGTAGTAAAAATTGATAAATATGGGGAATATGGTAATTTTATCATAATACCTTAGAATGGGTTAAAAGACATTTATTTGGTTAAATTCATTTCAAGTTTAGTATTTTTTACTTGATGTGTGATAATAAGAACTATGATTTTGAAACCCAGATTTTTCCTGCTAACCGCTACCATATGAGCAGAAAAAATAAGAAATGAATGGTTTAAATATTACTAGAATTATATTTTCTCCCACCCGTAGCTGCAATACCACACAGTACGATAAATTTATCAGGACTTTTTTCTTCGTGTACAATAATTTGACTTAAAAATATATAAAAAACTTTTTAAAAAAAATATCGTATTTTCTTTATTAAACAAAATAATGTTTTTCTTTTCTTTTTTTAAAAAAAAAGAATTATCTCAAGTTAAGACTTCACACACTTAGTAGCTGCAATGATTCTTATAACATAACAAGTTGTGGGAATAGGTACTAAACTTGCGCATCGTATTTAGTGAATCAGGTTTAAATTCTAACTCCAACATTTCATTTAATCTAGCTCTGTCAGCAACACTGCTTAAAAATACATCCAACGTAGACGGATCCTTGGTAACGTCGAATTTCCAATACAATTAACGGGAAAGGCTTTTCGGCTTCTAAGGCTCATTTCTCTCGATTTGCATATACGGGAATGAAATAAAATTGATGATCCATTTACGGTCATAACATATATTAACTATTTTAAAAAAAATAAGTGCTATGGGCTTAATAAATATTTCAATATCAACCAAAAGGAGTAGATAAGATTCGAAATGTTGAAATATGCAACGAAACTATGCTAGAAAGTATACTGACTAAAATAAATCGATTACCATGTAGCAGTAATATTTTTAAAAGAAAATTTTTTAAATATCGGAACTAAATCATGTCTCTTGAAGAGTGATTCATAAATATTTCTGGTGATAGTCTTTGATGTGTAAAGTAAATTAATATTTGTTCAAATTTAAAAATGAAAAGAAGAAAAGCTTGGATAAACTGAAAAAACATCTTAAAATTAATTTCTTTAGGTGATGAATCGATAAAAATGACAATCTAACTTATGAAACTGAATTTAAAAAAAAAAATCCTAATAAATCTAAGCGTTCGAGAATCAAAGTTATAAAAACTGTTCAGTAAGTTTGGAAAAATGCTTCGAAGAAGATGTAAAAATGCAATTGTTATATGAAATAACTTACTTTCTTTCATTTTGCATATTGCTTTTTTTCTAGAATAAGAAAAGAAAAGTTTTCAAAGGATCGAAAGTAGTTTAAATTTAAATATTTTTTTCCATAAGACTTTTGAAAACTTTGTTAAAGATTTAGGGACAAAAAAGTTGACACTTGACAGAAAAAAATTTGTTTCTTTGTGTTTAAGTAAATTAAAACAAATAATGTAAATTAACGCAGATAAATAACATTTAAAAATTTATCGAAGCTTTTAAGGTTTTAGTTAATTTGTCAGCAAGTACGAGTATAAAGTAAAAATTGGTACTTACTTTATATTTTTATGCGTCTTATATGTAATGCTTGTTAAGTTTTTCCTTCTTCGTTTATATAACGAGTAAAATTTTTGGTTTTCTTACATTGGAAAAAACTTTTTTCGACACAAATTTTTAATAATGTTTTATGGAAGGTTCTGGATTTTTTGTAAGTCAAAAGTGTAGTTTTTGAAATACATTAAATAAAGTAAATTTTCACCAAAGATAATTTTAACTTATATTAGATGATTTAAGAATTTTAACTTACATTACAAATGCACAGTGGTTCAAAATATATTACTCTAAATGACTTCTGGTTCACTGATTAGAATTTCTCATACAAAGTTCCTATCCTAAGGGTTCAAAGAGTAGATCTTAAGTTAACTGATACGTTAACTAATTTGTGTTAACTGTGGATTAATGAAAATTTACTTTCTGTAAATAAACATGCCT